TATGGCATATTGACAACTGTGTGGTATACAAATGCCCTCCTTGTTTGACAAGATGCTTGCTAGAAGGTGTATAGCAATTAGCAGTACAAAAAGAATGGACATGAACAGTCTTGCTCACTTTCTGTGCTGAAATGGAGTGCAACAACACATAGTTTGGGAGAGCAAACCGACAAGTTAATTTCAAACAAACCACTCAGATACTGACATTATGTCTTAGGAAAGAAAATATTTATGTACTTTTTTGAACAATCCATATATGGTAAATACAGTGTGCAACAGGAATACAGTCCTCATAATGGTAAGACATTAGTAACAATGAAGACACCATTGCTACTAATGTCATATACTTATTAGGAGGGGGGTATTTCTGCTGTACCTTGCATAATGTTCTCTTTTGTGAACTATATATATATATATATATATATATATATATATATATATTATATTAAGGGCAGCAGATCATTATTTAAACATACATTGTTAAATATAACAGACAATGAATGTCTATTATGTCTGATCATGAGTTGTTCTAGAGTTTGCATGTTTGCTTTAAGTTCAGGTGAAATGTGAGCCAAAAGCTTAAATCAAGAACCAACTTAATAAAAAATAACCAAAAGTTGGACAATTTTTGTCTTTATTTTCATCCAAAATTAAAGCAAACATACAAACTTTAGAACAGCTCATGATCCGACATAATAGACATTCATTGTCTGTTATATTTAACAATATGTTTGAATATATATATATATATATATATATATATATATATCAAATATAGTTTTAAGGTGTGCTATATTTATGGGATAAAGTGCTCAATATCAGAGATAGTGTATGCAAATATAAAATTGACCATTGTCTCTTCTGAATGTTAACATCAGACTGTTTCATGCTAAACGCAATCATCAGTGTTGACGTCAATATTCAGTTTCGTGTGTGTAAAATGTCAAATTCCTGCCCATGTTGGACTACATTTGTTTCTTTTGAAACTTTTCAACCTCTTTGCCAGAATTCTTAAGCAACTGCATCCATTACAAAGTAACCCCCCCCTGCAACTACAAACTAGTGAGCAACAGAAACCTCTGATCCATTTCAAATCTGTAACACCCACTCATCATGTCACACATCTATACGAGTCATGGGCTAAATATTATTATAACCATTTCTTTGTTAAAAAAGATTAAAAAAAAAAAAACTGTTTCATACTCTGTATTATTTATAGCGGATTACTTAATCATTACTGAGTGTTAATAAGTCAAGGTTGCAAATAAAATCAATCAAGTGGAATGTTTAGTGAACAAGATCGTCCTTTTGTTGCTTTTTATGGAAAGAAATTGAGAAAAATAGGGACATGTTAAAAATAGTTATAAAAAAATAATGGTTGAATGGAGAGAGAGAGAAAAACAGGAGAATCAAAAGAAAGAAGGAGGGAGAGAGAGAAAGAGGAGGTGCAAAAGAAAGAAGAGAGTGAAAGAAAGAGGTGGGTGAAAAGAAAGTGAAGGAGAGAGAGAGAATAGGAGCAAAACAGAGAGAAGATAAATTAACAAAGGAAGGGTTTCTCCCCAAAGCACTTTGCATGCAACAGACAAGCAGAAACACTAATTAATGTAGTTTCACACATTACTTTTATACAAATATGTCTTCAAAATATCTCTGCATTTTGACTGCAGCAAGGTTACAACCCAGTCAAACATACCAGGTAAGACTTTTTTTGTGGGAGGGGGGTTTTTTTTTTTTTTTTTTTCTTTTAAACCACATATTTCATGTTTTTCTTTTTTGTTTCAAACAACAAAAAAAAAGGGGGTGTGGAGCAAAGAGTTGGGGGAAGTGGGGGGGAGATGTTCCAACAGCATCATCATTACCATTCAGGGACAATTCAAATGCACCAGAACTTTTTTCTTGCTTTTTTTATGGTTATTGTTTTTTTGTTGATCAACCCCAGCCATGTCCTTAAATATGACAACATCACGAGATAGCCTTATAGAAATCTTATAGACAGTAGTCTTCATATAATCAGTATTTTATCAAGAAGGAAATGTCAACATAATAATAATATTTTAATAGTAGTAGTTGCAATGGTAGTAATTAGGGAGGAAATGACACTAATGATCCATAATATGTAGAACCATTGGGATCTGTCGATGGTATGTTTTTTATTGTTACTTTTCAAAATGAAACGTACTTTGGTGGGAAGGGAAATTTATTGAAAAAATAAAACAAAATGAAAACAATTCAAATAATTTTTAAAATGACAAAGTGGCTTAAAAAAGAAAAATGTAAACAATTTGTACAAAGAAAAGTCTTTCTTTTTACAGCATATTGGGACAAAAAAAAAAAGTTAACGAAAAATAGTTGACCAATGTTGAAAGGGTTAAAGTAGAAAAACTTCACACACCATGAACAATGTTTACAAAAAGGAGAAAATAAAATATATCTAATATTTCTTTTCTTTAACTTTTAAAATTTTTCTTTTGAATTTTTTTTTTAAAAATTTGTTTCTCTTTGTGTATAATTTTTTTTTTCCAGCTGAAAATGCGGGAAAAAAAATTGCTTCATCAAACAGAAAAAATGAAAATGTTTTTTAACTCATAAAATTTCATTTACATTTTTTTCTTAAATTAAAAATGATTTTTCTTTCATAAAAATTTCTTAATTTAAAAAGAAATGTCCTTATTAAAACATTTTTTTTTTAAATTAAAATCAAAAACAAAATAAAAGATGTAATTTTTTTTTTTTTTTTTTTTTTAAATTCTAATAAAATCGAAACCAAAATTTTTCGATGACCCAAGACACCATTAAAAAATAAAATCTCATTATGTCCCGGCATATATAAGTACATGGATATTTGTATATGCATTTATATGTTGTCGACTGAACTTGTGAACTATGATTTTCTTACAGAGTTGCCTGTTCATCAAACATATACACTAAGGTTGGTTTGGGCACTTACACGTAGTGTAATGGTTAACAAGCTTGTTTCGCTAGATCAATTATGACAGAGTAGTGAGTATGATCCTCACTGGGTGTTCTATGGTTGCAGCCTTGTGCCACATCTAAGCTATTCATAGTAAATCACTACACTAAAGATTGGTTTCCTTCAGAGAGGCTGGACATTGACTCTTCCCAATAAAGGAGTGGCATTGTTAGAAGCCAATCAACTTCGGGTTGGTTTTACTGGAAGGAAAGGAAAATGATATGGGAGAGGGGTGGGAGTGCTGACAGCAGTAGTAGTAGTAGTTATATTAATTGTGAAAATTGTTGTGGATAAGAGGAGGGGAGTGGGTGCTGAGTAGTCCCAGCCTCTGCATGGCTCTAATATTACTGTTTCACAGGGATGATGGAGAAAGAGGCGGGGTGTGGGGAATATCGGAAAGCAAAAAGAAGAAAACAATTGTTTTTTGTTGTTGTTGCGATGACTGACCATTACACCATTTTCTTCTTTCCAACTGTCCTCATCAAAAGAAGACAGTCCAAAAAAGTGGAAGTGTATCCAGAAAATAAAGCAAGCATATCTACTATTGTCTTGGGAAAATTATTTCCAGAAAAGAGAAACTAGATATGTAGACAGTTTAAGGAGGACTTAATCATCGCAGCAATACTAAATTCCTTGAAAAATTGGAGAGAGTAGAAACTATGTGTAGAGGTTGGAGGTACTGGGGGGGTCATGTTACGAAATCTGCTAGCTACCTGCCTTTTGAAAGAAATCATGCCACTAATAATGTTTTTAGGGTTTTTTTGTTTACTTTTTTTTTGCAATTTAATTCAATTTTGAGGATCAGCTGGATGATTAGGTGATGTACCAGAGGTTTTACATATTTTACGTAACAAAATATGCAATAGTTCATGGTTAAAGGCTTCTAAAACCATAAGCCATTGTTTAGACCAGTGTTTCTCAATCGGTGCGCCCTGAAAGGTAGCAAGGTGTGCCTCAAGTCAAAAGAAGAGTAATTTATGAATTATTTTTATATTTAAAAATCTTTATTTATAAAAAGAGCTAGGAACACCAAGCATATGACTTCCATGTTTAAGTAAAGTCTTTGTTATTTGATATTTTAAACTGGAGGTTAAATTCCTTAATCTTTAATAAGGAGGGATTAAATCTTTCCTCAAGTCATAATACGTAAGGTGTATCATTCAAAAAGTTATCAAGACACATCAAGCACAGTTTTCACACAAGCAGACTTAAATATACAATGTAATGTCATAAAAATAAATGCTTATCTCAGGAGACTCTTTATTATTTTCAAATTTCATGACTAATTTTTCCTTATTAAAATTGAAAGTGCACCCCCAGAGTTTTAGTTATTCTACAAGTGCACAGCCCTGAAATAAAAAAGGTTGAGAAACACTGGTTTAGACCATAATGCTGAAGATGATTTTCTGAACGTGTGCATATCCTTTATTTATTAACCCAATTAATGGATATCGATTCACACAGTCTGCCTTTTCTGCATTTGCCATTTTCCGTGATGCGTAGTCAATATTTTTATTGGACATTTTAGTTGGTGTTATACGGCCATTTTATGGAGATATTTGCCAAATATTTTAAGGGACTTTTAATTTTCTCTCTCTATACTTTACATATGATCTTTTCAACAATATTTGAAAAAACATCAACCCATATTCTTTCTTGGCAAATATTTTTCATGAAAAAAGTATTTTTGTGTGGGTTTAACTCTGTTCTTCAGCTAATTTATCGTGATATTTGACTGAACTGCAATGGTATTCAAATTTTTTTGATCATTAGAAATTTTTTTGTCTTTTCTAGTTTTGAGTAATATTTTACTCAGGGACATGTTGATAATCATTACAACAGTGATAAAATAACTGGAACAAAAAAAAAAGGCAATTTTCTTCAAAACTGGCCACTTTCTTGGCTCTTAATCAGATTTTCATCTGGAAGATCCTCAAATATGCATAAATTGGGGAAAAATGCCAGAAGCATATTCAAAAGATGAATATCTTTTGAAAAAAAAAAAAAAAAAAAATGGTAGCCACGATATTCAGATGATTTCTCCTATAATCTTTGTATCTTCAACCTCTAATATCTGTGAAATAAAATGAGTGCTTATTAGATGGTTAGTTTTTGAGAAAAACAAAAATTAAATTTCAGATAATTCCCACCCACCAAAAAGAAAAGAAAAAAAGAAAAAAGAAAAGGAAAAAAATAGATCAATTTAGTTGTTTGTTGAACAGCAAGGGGGGAATATAGTGATAAAATATTTTTTATAAAATTTTCTATTATAAAATAAAAATTTGTAGGAAATAAAAATAAAATCAATCGAGGAAGGAAAAAAATAAAAGAAAAAAGATTGATACAAAAAAAGGGGGCGGGGGCATAAAAAGGTTTAAAAAAAAAAAAAAAAAAAAAAACCCAAAACCCACCTTCCCGTTCTTTGTAATATTTAAACAACTCTGTATTCATAACTTGCAATTCAGCTTTCATGATTTAGAGGTTTATGTCTTACCCGATTTGCCAGGGAAGACATGAGAAATAGATAAAAATATTCCTTTTTGTTTTCAAACGAAACAAAAATTAAGAAAGAGGAAAATAATAATAATAATTAATAATAATAATAGAAATTTTTTTTTTTATATATATATATATATATATATATATATATATATATATATATATATATATTTATATATATATATATATATATATATATATATTTATTATATACACACACACACACATATATATTTATTTATGTATGTATGTATATATATATATATATGTATATATATATAAAATTTTGTCATTTTTTTTGTCTTTTTTTAGAAAATATCCTAAAAAATAAAGCAACTGCGTTGATTAGCAGTTTTTGTTTGAAGCTAAAAATTTTTGTTTTAATTTTTTTCTTTTTTGAAACTCAATGAATAGGAGGCATGGTCCCTACATTTTTTTTCTTTCTAGATTTTTTCTTTTCTTTATTTTTTCTTTTTTTGAATATTTTTTTTTTTCTTTTAATAATTATTTTTTTTGGTTTTTTATGCTTGTCTGGATGTTACCTTTTTTTTTTTTTTTTTTTTTTTTTTTGGTTTTTGTTTAAGGCAAAAAATGTGTAAAAATTACTCTGCAATAATATATTAAATGACATCCATGAAAAATATATAAAATGTGTATTTACAGGGAACAGCAGTAGCAGCAGTCTAAAACTCATACAGGGCCACCAGGGAAATGGCTGGGCAAGCAGTGGTGTTGCATAACGAATATATTTGGGTTTAAGGAGGTCAGGTGGGACAAAAAGAGGAGTAGGAGGAGGCTCTGAGCAATGGACAACAGAACCACTATAGACAGACAAACAGGCTTTTGATGTTGTTGTTGTTGTTGTTTGGAGTAGGTTGCATAATAAGCGTCGGATAAAATAGATTTCTATGCTACAGGATACAACAGGCTCGCTTTAGCTTCTTTTCTTGTTTTACTTGTGGACGTTCCTCAGCTTGGAATTTCCTGAAATAAAAAAAGAAATAATAATAATAATTTCTGGGATAAGAAGTTATTTACATTATTTATAGTTAGACTATTGTCCTCATCTTTGTTGTTTTTATTACTGTTATAAAATAAAATACTATACACAAGGTAGCTGTCCCAAAACCACATGTTCCTATTGAAATAAATCACGTAAATCTATTTCTGCTGTTGTCGTATTTCTTTCTTGCAACCATACGCTTGTCCATAACATTACCTGATTGCCTTCTGCCTGAATTTCTGGGATGAGGAGTTATCATTATTTACACTATTTGCATGCAAACTATTGTCCTCATTTTTGTTGTTTGGCTTTCATAAGGTGTATATTGATCCAGGTAACCTTCAGGGAATTCATTGTCCATGTGGAAAGATATCTGCTCAGTTATTGCTGACTCCAAGTACACACTACCTGGCCCAGGGATTGAACTCACAATTACTGTCACCAAATACACAAACCAATGCTTTAATCCACGTGAGACAATTTTATGTAGAAAACTTGGAGTCTTAAACCTAACCTTATAATAATACTAGCAGCATGGCCCGGCGTTGCCCGTGCTTGATTCAAAAATAGTACGACTAATACAGCAATCGCTATCACTTGACTTAAAATATTTTTGCCCTTCCTTGCCTTTAGAGGAGTGCCCTTTGCCGTGCTGATGTTGTTACATGCCTTACTTCTTGCCTATATCACACTGCCAACTTTTTCTAAGCTCTATAGTAAACATTAAATCTGTTACAAAAAAAGAACTAAACAAAATAAACACAATATGATCAGCTTTAAAAAACCGGAAAAAACATTTTTAAGGTTTGACCGATTGTCGATTTGCACTCTGTTTGGGGGGTGCTCAGAGTTGAAACTTCACATGATGACTCCCAATGGCCTCTTCATAAATCCGCTCGGTTTTTGCTAAAAACTGACATGCGGTTCAGGCATAATCTGGGCGTGTCGGTTTTTTTTGGGTTTTAGCGATTTTCCGCGCTGTTTAGGGGTCCGTGGTCATGAAACTTCTGGACAACACTTCTAATAGTAGACTCTAAGAGAATGTCAAATTTGGTTGAAATGCGATCATTCCTTCTGTAAGCAGAATTTTTTCGATTATCGATTTTTTCAGAACCTGATTCCGAACTCAAAAATTGTCATGTCCTTACGGCAGCCATTTGCAAACTTGTGTTGAAAACTGCATCGAAATCGGGTGAGAAATGCCCACGACAGACATACAGACAGACAACATGAAAAATATAGATAGTAGATTAGGAAATTTGATGAAACTAAAGCATACATTGTAAGTGAGTAAGGTTTAGCTTAAAGTTTCTTAGCCACCATGAGTGAGTACTCAGGTTTAGCTCAGAATGAGTATAAAAAGTGGAGATATAGCTGAATAATCAGTGGAAGTTGTGTACAAAGTGTATTTTTCATCATGAAAAGGAATGCTGTAAATGATGGATGTGGTTACAAAATGAAAAGAAATTATTTTGACATTAAAATCATTCCAATATGTTTTAACAGATAAAATAGTGAAAATATCAAATATAGACTTTTACTTTTGGTTTTTATTGTAAGAAAATTAATCATAAAAAATTACTTTTGCATACTTAAAGCAATGTTTTAGACTGATTTTAATATCTGTCAAATTTAGATGTCAAAAATTATTTGAAAATCCATCTTACATGTTTATAAGTTTGTCAATTTGTCCATGCATTGAATATTACTGCCAAATCTAGTTTGGCACTTCTGCTATATAACTAGTGACTCTTGACAAAATCCAAAGAATCTTCAATGTTTTTATTCATTAGTAACAATACTTTATTAAGGTTCTATTTGCCTCAAATAGACAAAAAGAACACTGTTTAAAAAAATGGAGCCTCTGTGGTGAGTATGAAATAACTCCCTTTACACACTCTCTTCAAATTCAGTCAATCTGAGGAAAAAGATGGAAAGAAATTTGCAAGCACATGTGAAATTTTCTTTGAACCAATGAAAATTTCACATAGGCACACAAATTTTTTTCCATCTTTTTCCTCAGCTTGCCTGAATTTGAAGGGAGTAGGTAAAGAGAGTTATTATTATTTCATTTTATCTACTCAGATATGTATATCCACTAAAAATAGTGTTTGAAGTAATAAAAATATGTTGGATTAAAAAAATAAAATCCATTAATTTTTATAATTATATATATATGTGCGTGTATGTATTCTTCAAGACTAAGTTCACAGGAGAATCAGTAAGCATTTATGTATTTAGTGCTGATATTCTGATGCCCAGTAAAGGGAGATCACTTCTAATTGGTAGATGGTGATTTTCTAAGCAAAGCTTAGATGTGGCTCAAGGCTGGAAGTATGGGGCACCTAGTGAAGATTTAACTTGCTATTCAGTTGTAATTGATCTAAAGAGGCAAGCTTGCTAACCATTACACCACGTCGCATTGCCCCTTGAGGTTAGGAGATGATTCTCAACACTAATAATAACATCTTAACCCAAATTGATAATGCCTGGAAAAAAAACAAAAACAAACAAAACCTAAAATGTCAAGAATTTAAATCTTTAAATGAAAAGCAGATATTTGTAAAAAAGAAAAAAGTACTTAAGAAAACTAGTGCAATAATAGTTAACAGATAAAGAAGGTTCAGAGAACTTATCTTGTGACTGACTATGTTTTATGTTTACATTGCTCATCAGGATATCATCATATTTCATTCTTTTTTTAAGTTTCTCAATATTTGTTGGGCATGTCTGATAAACAACTGATTTCAAATGGCCCCCACAGAAAAAGATCTGACGGTGTGAAATCTGGTGACCTTGGTGGTCACTCAACAAGAACTCTTCAAACTATCCATTAACCCACCCATCTCCAGGATGTATGAATTTTGCCTCACCCTGTATATTATACAAACTATTAATAATAATAATAAAAACTAATACAGGGTGCATTGCATAAATTGTCGTCTAAATTACGCAAAAATGAAAATAACACTGACATCTCATTTTAACAGCAATATTTATCAAAATGACACAAAAATATCTTGAAATACTAAAGAATAAATTTAATCAATAAAATCGCCCTTGGCTTCAATCACAGCCTCCAGATGTTTGGAATCTCCTGCAACTATTCTGGATGGCCTTCTTATTTAAATTGGTGAATGCTGCCATAATCCTTGCCTTCACTTCATCTTTGGTGTTAAAAGGAGTTTTGTTGGTCTCTCACTCAACTCCGCTCCACACATAATAATCAAGGGGGTTGTAGTCTGGGGAGTTAGGTGTGCAGATGTAAGGGGTGATATGGTTGCAGAAATTCTCTGACAGCCATGAGTGGGTTCTCCTGATTGTGTTGCATGGTGCAGAGTCCTGTTGCCAGACATAGGTTTTTCTAGCAGTCATCTTTTTGACCTAGAGCAGCACTCAAGGCACTTGATGTAGGCCTCCGTGTTGAGTCTGAGGCCCTGTGTGAAGATGAATGGAGGCATAATGTCACCATCACTAGTGATCACTCCAAGCACCTTTATAATCACCATAAGACTCATCCAACTCTTTCTGAATCCTCTGCTTTGTTCTCAGATGAACACCCAAACATTCTGAAATGTTCATATTGAAGCTTCTGATGTGAATGCCAAGCAGTACATCATGCAGTTTCCAAATTTCTGGCAGAGTGAATTGTGTCATGGTGATCTTTTTCTCACCTATGGTGCCCAACTGACCCAACTATACTGTGCAGTTGACAAAATCAAAAAGAAACAATGCACATGTGTGAAATTAAAAATATAAAATGGCGACAATTTACCCATCGCACCCTGTGTCACCTATCGGACAAACGTCTGATGCCACTCTCTGGATTTAATAATTAGTATGCTTCATGCATACTAATCTAGGATACTGAAACTATTTAACCTATTAGTGCACAATGTCCAATTTTATTAGAGAGATACCTAAAATTTAAAATCTGCCAGCTATCATAAAATTACCATTAACTAGCAAGATATACTAGGCTAAAAATTTAAGACAAAATTATGCAGTAATTGGTTAATTTTATCTTTATTATGAGTGAAAATATGATAAAATCCTTAATGGAAGAATAAGTCCCTTTGACCATAAATGAGCTAGGAAATTAGTTTTGAAAAAAGGCATGCGTCCTTCAAATTTTAGGCGATTTTTTGAAATGCAGAGAGTAGCCTATAGTGTTTACTAATATCCCCTGACGAGTGGATGGAGTGATTGCTGAAGGGCCTTTATACAAGACTTGGGATGATGCTGAAGATAACACCAATCAGCTAAGTGACAAATTTTATATTTGTATTAATTCTATCTGTATATCTCCCTCCTTTTCTCTCTCTCTCTCTCTCTCTCTCTCATATATAAATATATATATATATATATATATATATATGTAAGCAAATATATGGATATAGATCCGACAGTATGAAGAAAAATATACAACAACATAACATCGCCCACGTGACGCCGACGTGATCATATTGAAACGGAACGCTGATCTTGAAAAATTTCAGTTGTCTGTTTTGATTAGTCTTACTCTTTTGTCCATCGTCTTTTCATGTTGAATTAAATATAGTCTAATGTTAATTATGTTTTATGAATATGTCCTGAAGATGGTCTACTAGACCGAAACGTCCGACGTTGACATTATATTAACATTAAAACAGCATAATTGCATATTAGGATTTTTGTTTGTTTTTTCCGTATATTTTTCTTTATATATATATATATATATATATATATATGTGGACAAAACAAATTACACATGACAAAGATGCATTTTTGTTTCAATGCGCATGCATCTTGACTGGTGAGAATCAAAAATGGTCATGATGGTTGATTATAATAAATAATTATTGCTCTACTCTTGGTATTGAGCCTTCTTTTGAATTAATGCTGTGTATGTTAAAATTTATATTACTTTTGTTCTCAGTAACATTCAGATGTGTGTGTGTGTGTGTGTGTGTGTATTCATGGTGGTGTTGTTTTTCAGAGA